GAAGGCAAATGAAGAATAGAGATAAAAAGCACATAATGTAGCTTGCAAACTTGAGTAAATGGATGATGGAACAGTGTTTAGGAGAGATAACAAAAAGACAAAATTTATTAAGAGCTACAAAGAAAACGAAATTGTGGAGAGCCATGATCGCCAACATCCTGAAGGGACATGGAATATAGATCTATAGTAGAATTATTTTCAATAAGTAACAATAATAAAATTATTTTAATGTATTGCTATAGTACAATTATTTTCAAAACATTTCTATAGGAAAATCATTTTTAATGTATCTATATAGTGAATTATTTTCAATAAATGACTATAGTAAAATCAATTTAAAGTATTGCTTTATGGGAGAATTATTTTCAAAACAATTCTCTAGTAAAGCCATGTTAATGCATGTTTATAATATAATTATTTTCATTATATCTATAGTAAAATCATTTTTATGTACTTCTATAATAAAAACATTTTCATAAGTAACTATAGTAAAATCATATTAATGTATAGTTATAGCAGAATTATTTTTAGTAAATATCTATAGGAAAATCATTCTAATGTACCCTATAATAGTTTTATTTTTTATACATTTTTATAGGGAAATCATTTTATATATCTCTAGTAGAATTGTTTTCCTCTACATATCTATTTTAAAATTATTTGCAATGTATTTCTATCCAAAATTATTTATCCTGCATTTCTATAAAATAAATTAAGTCCGACAATTATTTTAAGACATTTTTATGTTTATACATTTCTTTTATAGATACAAAGATTTAAGTAAATGCTCTGTTTATAATAAACATATTAAATATTTGTATCTATAAAAAGAATGTATAAACATAATGTCTTAAAAATAATTATATATATATATATATATATATATATATATATATATATATATATATATATAGATTGTATATACATATAATAAATTATATATATATAATAAATTATATATATATATAATAGATTATATATATATATATATATAATAGTTTATATATATATATATATATATATATGATTTTATATATATATATATATATAATAGTTTATATATATATATATATAATTATATATATATATATATATATATATATATATATATATATATATATAACAGATTATATATATCTGACGATCAAAAGCGTTAAATCCAGGGTCACAAACTCACACCAATCCAACCAAATATGTTAGCTCTATCTCTGATATTGAGCTCTTTCTAATAAATTACCATGCATATAATATATAAATAATATTTATATTTATATGCACACACATTCACACA